GAAGGAAGGAAGGAAGGAAGGAAGGAAGGAAGGAAGGAAGGAAGGAAAGAAGACGATTTAGATTGAAATTGCTGGTGTTGTAAGCATGTGCGGCCTTTTCTTCTCATTTCTTGTCACAGAATGCTGAGATACAAAGGCTATGGGCACAGCATATCTGTGACATTAGACACTAAACTCAATCCCCAGGAAACTTAAAGCATCTGGCAAAATGCATGTGGTTTTATATGCAAATGTGCTATTTTAGAAATGGATGTGAGGATTTGGGTATCCAAGAGGCACGTGGGAGCCAGACACTGTTTCACATAGGAGTCAGTCCTTGGGACCCCTACAGTGAAGTACCTATCACCTATTCCCTTCACATCCGCTTTATAGACACGGCAACTGAGGTGCTGAGACCACTGACTCCCTTACAGCTCCCCAGGAAATCCATGCAGCTCAAGTTATAGGGAGACAGACAGAGGCTGAGGGCCTTCCTCCACTTAGGAGGGCTAGGGGCAGGGAGGTAAAGGCTGCTCCAACAGCTGACCTGCTTCTAATAGGATGAACCATGACAGACTTGGCAAAGGTATATATATATATCTATATATATATCTATATCTATATATCTATATCTATATCTATCTATCTATCTATCTATCTATCTATCTATCTATCTATCTATCTATCTATCTATATATATATATATATATCTATATATATATCTCCGGAGCCATCCCTGTGGCCCTGGCTCAGAGATGAAAACACACAGTCTCTGACCCCAGCTGCTTCCAGCCCAGCCTAAGAACCAGACATGACGTCATCGAGGTCATCTTTCTATGGCCAGCAGCGTCTGAGTCTCCGGTGCCATAATGGAGGGTGCTGGGTGGAGCCTTCTCCCTCCTCTCTCAGCCCCACATCCTCATCCCTGCTGGCCCTTTACCTCCCACTCAGAGGTCCCTTGTCCCAGAAAGCGTACAGCTCCCCGGCTGAATGCAGCTCCTCTTACTTCTTGGAATATTTGGGGTCTGCCCTGGCCCTCTATCATATCTGCGAGTCCACTGTGGGAAGAGACCCTAAGGGAGTTGCTTCTCATCCCTGGTGCCTGTGAGGCCCAGCACAGGGAGCGTAGACAGACACATGACAGCAGATGTCAGGGCACTGTGGCGTGGCAGTTAAGCCTGGCTTCTGCAGGCTTCAGACGGCTTTCTCACCCATCTGGGTGCTAGGTCGGGGCCTTCTGCTCCCCAAGCTCCACAGTAGCGTCTCCAGGGTTAAGGCAGGATCATCGCCAGCGGAGGTGACTCACTCAGTGAAGAGCTTGCTCTGCAACCATAGGGCTTAAGTTCAAACCCAGCACTGTAAGAAAACAAAACAAAACCTGTCGCAGCAGCCATCTGAAATGTCTGGACCGAGGAGGCAGGGGCAGAGCCATGCAAGGGCCTTGCAGGCTAACCAGACCAGTAGGATCTGAACTCCAGATACAGTGAGAGACCCTGACAAAAAGACATGGAGGATGACACTTGAGACCTACCTGTGTCCTCACAAGCATGCTTACAGACATGCACGCTCATTCATGCACACATAAAAACACACATGCACACACCAGTGTGACCACTGGGACTGAGTGCCCAGTCCAGGCTCTCAACACATAGGAGTTTCAAGTGGTACCTCATACTGTCATTGACAGTAAGTCTTCCCCTGACAATGGGCCTCTCTCTTTCCTCTCTCCCTCCTTTCCTACCTCCCTCCCTTCCTCCCTCCCTTCCTCCCTCCCTCCCTCTTTTCCCCCCTCCCCCTCCCCCTCTAGCACCAGGGATAGTGAACCCCCAGGTGCTAGGTGAGTGCTCCTCCCCCTGTTGCATCCTTGTTCCCAGTGCTCATTCTGACTGCCGCATTCCTTGGATACGCTCCCAGTCTACCAAGTATGGTGACAATCAAGCTCACGTCCGGGTCCCTTGGGCTCAGAGCCCCAGTGAAATTTTCCAAGACGCTTTCATTTAACAAAAGTGTTTTTCTGTAATGAGAGGCGCGCTCAGGCCCCAGAGGAGCAGCCCTGAATGCAAGCGCAAGGGAGTTGGCTGGTTGGTAAAAAGAGAGACTTTGATTGACAGTCTCACTGGGGTTAGAGTCCATTTGTCAAGACCAGAGGACTCCCACAGTGGAGGTCAGAGCCTTCAGTTCAAATCCCGTGCACTGCTGGGAGGTGATGCTTCGCTCCTAAGCACTGATGGCTTTCTGTGTCCCCTTGCCAAGCTAATTGCCAATACCCTGATGTCCACTGCTTTCTAACATACCGACATGTTCTGGGACCTGAATGTCCCTGTTTTTTTGATGGGGAGCCTGAAGCTTAGACAGAAGTCATTTGCTAGAAGCACACAGCTGGGAGGTGACAAAAGTCAGGTTTGAGCCCTGCACCCAATCACTGCCTCTGGCACCTACAGGTATACAAACTCTCCTAGAAGCCTAACAGGGTTGCTAGGGGCTGGTGCAGGACTAGCTGGCAGCCTGCCCTGACAGTGCTCAGAGGCTGTGTGGGTCACTGTCCCCATACAAAGTCAGGAAGTTTGTGTCTAACTAGTGCTGACCACCAGGACAGGAAGGTCTACATCTAACTCATGGTGACCACCAGGCCCATTGCAGGCTTTCTGAGCTCTGTTTCCACGCATTTTGGAGGCAGTCTTACTATGTAGTCCAGGCTAGCCTCAAACTCATGATCCTCCTGTTTCAGTCTCCCCAAGTGCCTGAATTATAAACGTGAATCAGTTCATTCTCCATGTTTCTAATTTTAAAACCCATTTACTTATTTATTTGACACACGTGTGGAGGCCTGAATGTGTCCATGTTCATGTGTAGTCAAAGGACAGTTTTGGGACTCAATTCTCTTCCACCGTGTGTGTCCCCAGGACTACACTCTGGTTGTCAGACATGGCCAGCCAGTGTCTTTGCCTGCTGAGCATCTTACTGGCCTAGTTTTCATACTTTGTAAAGCAAGAGCAGCAATGCCTGCTGGGAAGAGGCCCTGGGAAGACATTGCCTTGTGGGCTGGTGTTTTCTGGGCCCTCCCATGTGGGTGAGTGTCCAGGGAGCCACCCCCACAGCCTGTGTGGCATCTGCATGCACTCACCTGTGTTTCGCCCCTTATGCTGGTGCCCACACGGTATGACAGCTGTTGTGGGTAGAGCCACTTGGTTCTAGGTTCAAGGGCTCCACTCTTTCCAGCAGGGGAACCTTGGCTGAGTGATTCCCACCTCTCTGAGTAGCTGTTTCCTCCTTCCTGGGCTCTGGGTTTACCTGCTGCCTCTTCTCCACCCTTCCCACCCCCTGCAGGTATTTCCAGCTGTGCATAGTGACTGCCTGACTGGGAACTCATACTGGAATTCTGTTCTGCAACAGCAAAGTGTGAAGGTCTCCAAAGGTAAGAACTCGTGTCTCCAAAGGGTCATCAGCAGGGTGGGGTCAGGGGAGGATGCTGGGAAGGCTGTCACTCTTTGGACGTGTGAGTGGAACCATGGTCACAGCAACAGTCTCCCTTCTCCACTGCATCAGAGCTGGTGTGACAGTCTATACCCCGGGGGTCTTTGAATGACTAATAACCTTACACAGACCATAGAGGGAGGAAGGGTCCTTAAGAGGCCAGTGAGACTTAGTTTAGGAACCTAGTCTTTTTCTGTGGTGGGGGTGGAGGGTTTCATCATTGACCTTGTTGAGATTTGTATTAGTTATTTTATATTGCTGTGATAAAACACCACAGCCAAGGTGATCTATAAAAGAACGCACCTAATTGTGCTCACTGTTTCAGAGGGACAGGGTCTATAATGGTGGAGCAGAGGCATGGCTGCAGGCAGCTGAGTGTCCGTATCACAAGCAGGAGATGGAGAGAACACTTCATCCCTCCTCCCGCCATGACGCACCTCCTCTAACATCTTTCCCAAACAGTTCCATCAAATGGGGCTGAGTGTTCAAGCTTGTAAGCCTAGGGTGGCCATTCTTATTCAAAACACCACATGGTTCCTAATGCATCCCACCTCTGCATCTTCAGCTTGTTTGAGGCTCAGCTCCATCTGGCCTCACATTCCTACTTGGATTTGTGGGGTCCGGCTGTTAGTGTCTATATATGCTAATGATTACAGTAGTGCTGGGCTTGCAGATGTTTGTGAAAGAAATAAAGTAGGCCAGGTGTGGTGGCACACACCTTTAACTCCAGCACCTAAGGGCAGAGGCAGGTGGGTCTCTGTGAGTGAGTTCAAGGCCAAACTTGTCTACAGAGTGAGTTCCAGGACTGCTTAGTAAGACCTTTTCTCAGAAGTGGGGGGTAGGAGGAGAACAAAGAGGAGGAGTAGGGCTAGGGAGAGAAGGGGGAGGAGGAGGAGGAGGAGGAGAGAAGGAGGGTAAGTAGGAGGGCTGGGGAGGAGGAGAAAGACGAGGAGGGTGAGTAGAAGGAGGACTGGGGAGGAGGAGGAAGAGGAGGAGAGTGGGTAG